GTAAAAAGCTTTTTAAATGTTTCTTTTCAAATAGGAAAAATCTTTTGAAAAAACTACATTGTAGATGCTTTCACAACAGTTATCATACAATTTTACCTAAAATGGATGATCTTTTTAGCACAAATAACAAAATATAATGCTTACTATGTATTAGCCCTATTTATTAAATTTACAAGTTTTCTTTTAATTATTGGTAAAGACATGTATTTAAGATACTAGATTATAACCTGTGTTAAACACGGGGAAGGTATTAAAAAAATTACCAAAATATTTACTGCAAATAAAATAATAAAAAAAGTAATAAATCATATAGTAATATAAAATATTTAAATAGTTCATTACAAAAACAACTATGTTCGAATGCAAAATAAAAAATATATATAACAACTAATATCTACTTGGCATAGTAACTGTATCAAAATCAGAACGGATTGAAAAAACTTGTTGTGAAGGATGTGTCAGAACCACATGCTTAATCGTATTTCCTTTAAAGAAATATAGGGTACTGTTTCTATAATCTCACCATTCATGTGCACCTTCATTGTAAGTACTAACATTACTTTAACCTATCGATTGTGAATGAAAACCAAAATAGACCACAAACGATCTCCACTTATAGAGAAATATCCCAATTTTCCGTGAACCTTGATCAGTCTCGATGCATAAAGTTTGAAGTCATTAATAGTAGAAGATGCAAATATGAGTGTATGTTCTTCTGAATAAAGATCAAATCGCAATATGATATCATTAGATAACAAGAAGTAAACTACACCCCCACTTGTAACTGCCTCATCAGAAACATGATAAACAGATGATGGTAACTAGATATTTTGAAAATCCCTCCATTGCCTTGTAGTAGATGAAAACAATTCTATGTTGTAGTAATCGTAATCCACTTTTTTCTTAAGCATGTCACTACAAATAAAATAAGATATAAGTAAATAATAAAGTAAATTAATAACATAAAATATACTATATAAACTCTTACGATGACATTGTGTACGACAATGGAATGAACTTGAAATGGAACGGGTTCGAATTGATAACTACCAAAGCAAACTTTACCGTAGTGTATTCAGAGCTCGGAAACAGTATCAATGTGACATTCGTAGTCATTGGTTTGATAACAAATAAAATCCTTGAAATGTATTCATTTGGATTATATGATTCAACAAGGAGTCCGCACAAGGATGATGCTAACATCGTACAAGTATGTGGTAGCTAATCAATGTCAAGATTGTTGCTAGTAGAAGACGGAACAAACTGACGCTCTATATTTCCCCATAGGTATTTTTTGTTGAACAATAACCCCACAAACCACATTATTTCTACGGTTGTAGTTCATGGTTGTTGTATGTTAGATTTCCATAAATTTTATTTGTACAACGTATAGTAACAAATGTTTGTAATGATGTTTGTGAAAGAATTTCAATAATTAGTTCAGAAGTCAATTATGATAACTGCAAAAGAAATAAATAATAAGATAATAATATTAGAAAAACTTCAAATTTAATTTTTCATGACATACGAATTAAAATGATAATAAGTACAAAATTTCTAGTATTGACGATAAAGAATTTTACCCGATCCATTTTCAATATTTTTTCCAATTCATCTATGATTGTATTGTTAGACGTGATCCTTGAGATAGCATGACTTTCCATTTTGTTCTTCAAATTGACATGTGAAATTTGAATTTTGAACGCCATCTTTTTTTCCAATGATATATTAAGAGCAGATGGATAAATTTCGTTATTACTTAATATATATATATATATATATATATATATATATATATATATATATATATATATATATATATATATATATATATATATATATATATATATATATGGTAAGAAATTTTTTTTGGTAGGAAGGTAAGAAATTTTGTTTTCGACTTATTTTTTTGGCGAAAAAACAAATGAATCAATAATAACATGATTCATCAGAAAAAATCCCGAAAAAATATTTTGATGATTTATTTTTATGAGGATTTTATTGATATTCACTAAAATTATCATAAAAGTGAATTTTTTTTCTTGGTTTACCTAAAAATGAATCATGAAGGTGCTTTTTTCATAATTTTTTCTTGTGAATCATCTTACTTTTGAATCATCTAATGATTCATTTCATTTTTTGCTAAGAAAATATACATATAAAAAAATTTCTTACCTTCCAACCAAAAATTTCTTTTTTATTTGATCTTGACTCTGTCTCTCTCTCTCTCTCTCTCTCTCTCTATATATATATATATATATATATATATATATATATATATATATATATATATATATATATATATATATATATATATATATATATATAGAGAGAGAGAGAGAGAGAGAGAGAGAAAGAGAGAGAGTTAGGTTCATGTGAGACGGTCTGATTTTGTGAGACAGTGAGACACATTTTTTATTTTTTTTATTATTTTTTTAGTTAACTCAAGTTCCGAAAATAATAATTAAAAAAAGAATTTTTTATTTTTCCATTTATTTTGCATTTTAAAATTATTTTTAGAATATGTACAGTGTAATATTGTATTTAGAATATTTCACGTATTTTTCAAAAAAAAAAAAAAGGATTTTTATTTTATTTTTTTTTATTTTTTAATTTTTTTTAGTTAATTCAAGTTCTGAAAATAATATTTAAAAAAAGAATTTTTAGATTTTTCCATTTATTTTGCATTTTAAAATTATTTTTTAGAATATGTCAGTGTAATATTCTATTTAGAATATTTCACGTATTTTTAAAAAAAAAAACGGGATTTTTTATTTATTTTTATTTATTTTTTATATTTTTGTTTATTTTTTTTATTTTTGTTTATTTTTTTTAGTTAATTCAAGTTCCGAAAATAATAGTTAAAAAAAGAATTTTTGGATTTTTCCATTTATTTTGCATTTTAAAATTATTTTTAGATTTGGTCTCACGGTCTCACAAAATTAGAATGGTCTCAAATGAACCTGAACCTATATATATATATATATATATATATATATATATATATATATATATATATATATATATATATATATATATTAAAAAGACTTAACATTATACATGAAATATAAATTTATTTCATAAACTCACTCGTTAATCAAGGTAAACAAATCAATTTAAAATTTGAAAACAAACAACATATATAAACCTTCACATACCAAATGCAACACGAGTGTCAAAGCTTCTGGCTAACAAATCTGAGAAAGAGATAAAATGATAAGGATCTACCGTATCAACAAAATCAGTGGATACACGAACTTTTGTGGTTTTGTAGAAATTTATTTTATGATAAAATGATAAGGATCTACCGTATCAACAAATCTGAGAAAGAGATAAAATGATAAGGATCTACCAGAAATATTCAAAAAATCTCAACCTATTATCTCATTATATACAAAAAAAATTATCTCATTATATACAAAAAAAACCCTATTATTATTATTGTTATTGTTATTGTTATTATTATTATTATTATTATTATTATTATTATTATTATTATTATTATTTTTGTTCATTATAAACATACCTCTATACTTAAATCATTCTTTCTCTTTTTCCCTTTTACCCCTGAGTAAGTAACACAGAAATAGATAGTTAAAATTTCTCAATATATGTAAAAATAAATTATTTATTTGAGTTCAAATAATATAAATATAGTAATATAGTAATATATCACTACTCTTCACATCTTCTTTTTCCTCTTTTACATCTAAAAGATGCAAAAAACACATAATTTTTTTTCATTGTTATTCATAGCAGATAAAAATAGATTGTTAAGAAGAGGGTAAAATAGTCAAATTAGTTACCATTTGATATTTTGGGTTTAGTTTGAGTTGATCTTCCTTTTGAGTTTTTGTCAACAACTTGTTTTTGGTCAAGTGCTAGTTGCTTTACAATGTTTTCTTTTGTATACTTCATTAATCTGTCAAATCCAACCCATTCATCCCAACTGTAATCAAGATATTATAGCTTTATGAAGGTTAAAAAGACAAACTTTATAGTTTGTACACACTATTCAAAATAAAATACATAGTAGATATGAGATTAATTACGACTCCAAATAGTCAATCATTCAACAATAAATAATACTTTTAATACAAAACTAATTTATAAGGAGGGTGGGGTATGATTTTGTTTTTTATCAAATGTGACTTGACTTGGTTCAGGATGGAAGGGATCAATTCCTAGATTTGAATTTATTGTAGAAGCTCTTGGATCTTTTTGAAACAGCAAAAAACACTGCACTCACCATTACCAAACAAAAAAAAATAAAAATAAAATATGGAACAACACAAAAAGAAGTTGATTTTTGATGGTGACAAACCCAGAATCCCAGGGATAACAAATTTGTCTTCTTTGAGAACCGAATGAAGGGTTCTTCTTTCGTTAACTTTCACCCATTTTGAAGCACATTCCCCCTGTAAGAAATTGCTAATAATTTCCTTGTTGCACACCAAACCAAACCAAAGGTTGAAAAAATGTTAAACAACAAAATCATAGTACGCAAGACAACTAATACTATCTGAGAACATGTAAGCATTCTCTAACCTCATAGTACAACTCAATGGTATCACGAGTGTAAGCATTCTCTTTATCCCATGGCAATGGTGCACCACTACTACTATCTGAGAACATGTTTTCAAGCGTTAAGGATTCCAGTTAACAGGATTATTAAATTTATTATTTGGTGAAACTGTAGCTGCTAAGAAAGGAAAAGGATATGAGGTCAAGGTAAGGTGAAAACATATCAGTCTCACAGAAATCCTCAATGAAGTCGCTAGACATAATCTCTGCATAAAGAAGAAGGAGGGGCTTGTGGAGTATACCATCTTTATCTAATATCGACTTTTTCATTCTTGTTAATTCTTGGAACATTGCCTTTCCAATCTTCAATCCTCTTTCTTCAATTGCTGACACTAAATCCTACGCATACATAATAAACTCATGTTAGAGAGCCTTCACAATATCAATTTTTTAATTATATGAACATCAATCAAGACCTTAGCTGCTGTCAAAGGTTTGGAAACTTGGGCCTCGTGTTGTTGGCGTTGTGATATTTGTGAATCGATGGGGTGACCCTTTCTGATGTCGATTGAAGGAAGCAATTAGGTTTAGAGAAAAAGGGAGGGAGAAAAGTAAGAAGATGATGGCGATTCTGGCATGATTGAAGTAAAATTAGGTTACAATTGTAAAAGAGAGAAAGAGGGTAGATAACGAAGGAAAGAAAAGATAACTGTGTAAAGGTTTATGATGTCAGCAAACAATCCAAGGATTAGAAATTAATGAAAACCAAAAACAAAAACAAATCAAGTGGAAGTAACCTCTCTATCCTTGGGTGGAGAGTTAAGAACCTCATCTTGTAATGGGATTTGGGTTTTGTTGTTTCAATTTGTATATTTAAAAATATATTCATTCTTACTTTATATATTTCTAACAGCTTACTTACTTAGTAAAAAAATAATAAAAATATAAAATCAAATCTGATTAAGCGAAAATGAAAAAAAAAAAAAACGATGATTATAAAACCTCACCTTCTTCCACTGATAACTCTGTAGACTGGTGAACTAATTGATGATCTTGAAACAACAGAACGTTGGTAACTAAAGTGTGGCGTCACCAATTCTCCTGAGTGAGTAGTACCCAACAAGTTCAACGTTGGTAACTAAAGTGTGGCGTCACCAATTCTCCTGAGTGAGTAGTACCCAACAAGTTCATGTAAGATACATTTTGTATGCAAATGAGATACATTCAAAGAAAACATAGAATGTAAAGAATCATACCTAGATTATAAGAATAAATATGAAGAGATGACACCAAAAAATCTAATCCAACACTTTCCTTTAAATCAACAGAAAATATCTGAAACCAAATCCCACATGGGAATCTGCTTGGCCTGAGCAACCAAAGGAAGATTTTGGTGTAAGGAGTAGCAACCAAAGGAAGATTTTGGTGTAAGGAGTAGCATGGATTACAGATATAGCAACCTAAATAATCATCAATATAAACCCAATTGTCTTATACATAATAGTAAACGACAATTAAAAAGCTGAAGTAGTTGGTAGCAGAAGCAGAAATGGAGTGAACAATAGAGAACCAACAATATGTTGTTCCACTATGTAATCATAGCTATCTAACCTCTCACGAAGCAGATTCCCTTTTTGCCCCATGTCATACAATTCAAAACAAATCCACGACCATTTAAACTAACTAATCAAGGTTAATAATGTCAAACTATCAACTACCTACCTGAAAATACGCCACAATGTTGTCGTTGCCTCTATTTGCATCGAATAAATGAGTGATATTAACCAATGTAGAGTTGAAATATGTGTTATTGAGATAGTAATCATGTCAAGCGTTAATGCAGCAGGGGTTGTTATGCCAAAAATAACCCCGCTTATAGCTAACCCTTTAATGAAAAAAATAAAAAGAAAATGCATCGAGCCTAATACTATAGACCAAAATTGAATTGCATTTAAAGAAAGACTGCCAAGAACTCCTGCAGGCTCAGTGTTCAACTGTGACAACCCGAAACTTCTACCTGGTACATCTAGTCAGTTAATCTAAGTTAAACTCGTTTCTGTTAACTCCTAGCACTGATTAAGAGTTCTTTTCAGCGTTCTAAGCTTGAGTACAACCAAGGTTGAGATTAGGAATGAGTCAGCTAGTCGTATAGGGACAAAATTCAGCCATACACCTCTTTTCGAGGAGTGTCCAGCCGTACACATGGGTGTACGGCCATACACACCCCTCAAGGCCAAACACCCACCCATATATAAAGGGTAGACCCCTTTCCTTTCATTCCTTTAACATCCTGGCAGCACACAACACCATTCTCTCAAGCTTCTTCAACCGTGAACCTTCCAAAGCTTCAAGAATGTGAGTAATTCATCCTCTAAATTGATATCCATGAAAGACCACTCTATCTAAGCCTTAAAAGTGCAATATTTGTCATGTTCTTCGTGTTTGGAAGTGAGTGCGGCCGCACACCCCCTTTAAGGTGGTCGCACACTCTTAAAACACCCTCCGAAGTGAGAGTTTGACTTCCATACTCGAGATAGACATGACCCTAGCCTTATTGTACCTTAGAATTGACATTTTGGACATCTTCATGTGGGGTGTACGACCGCACAAACCTGTGTACACATGCACACACCCTTGTGCGGCAGCACAATCCCGTGTGCGACCACACACACACCCTAGGACCACAAACCCATTTCTAAGACCCTAAACTTGTACTACAACTAAGTATGGACCTAGAACACTTCATGGATGCAAGTATGGACCTTGAGAACACCTCAAAGGCACCTTCCATCATGAGTGTACGGATGCACACCCCTTGGTCCGCACACCCATGGCCGCACACACCTTTAAGGTGGCCATACACCTCCCCTTTATGCAATCCTTTAAGGTTCTAGCACTTAGTGTAGGTGGTCCCCAGTTCTTAGAGTGGTTCTCCAGCACATTTAGTTGAGAAATACCTTCATTTGACTCCTTTATGTTTCATTACATGTTAATTAGGATCAAATCGTGTTCAAGGCTTCACTTGAACATCCGACATTCCGTATCGATCTTTCATTCAAATCGCCCGAGGTGAGTTCATACCCCTATATTTTCCGTGTTTTTAATGTTTTCAGGGCGGGGGGGATACAAGCCAAACTCACAGTATTTTATTAAGTTTTAAACTTATTAATACAGTCCAACGATTTCCATGTTTAATAACATATTCAAATATTTTATCCTTTTTGTAATATGTTGAGCATAAGGGAAAATTTTATTTTGGAAATCTAACTTCATAGCTTTCAGAAAGGTTTTTACAAAGCATTTTCCATATCAATTCTAATAAACTATAATGGGTATAGTTTGGTATAACCCTCTAGGCAATTTTTACCAAATCATATTTCATGGATGAATATGTATAAACTATGGCAGATTTAGTTTTTGTTATATATTTTCTCAGGAGTATGAAGTACTATTATTCAAGGATAATTATTGTTTTATATTGTTTCTAGCTAGTAAAATAGATTATACAGAATTGTGAGGTTCTACTTCAATATTGTACGCTTAGGTGTACATGGCTAAATCCTATCTCAGTATAACCCGAGTCTCCTGGAGGGAGAGCGTGAAATTTGTGAATAGATCTATTCGGGACTGACAATCCCACACCTGAACTGCTAGCTACAGTTAGGCATGCATGCCTAAGGTGAACAAATGTCATTTAGCTTAAACGCCTAAAGAAGGTCTCTAGGTCATATCAAGTATGGTTATGCGACTCGCAAATAAGTATAAACTAACTTTGGTTTACGGAATCAACTCTTCATTTGTTTTATTTAAGTAATAAAACTACTTTGATATATACTGATAGTAATAAGGGATTTCTAAACTTGCATCTCTACCTCTAGGACGGATAAGTGTTTTTAGGGAAAATATGGGATTTTCCCAGGATAACACCGACATCTCTAAACTGATGGTTTATTTTCTACTAATAGATATTCATATTCATTCCATGATTCCTTGGATTGTACATATCTTGTATGAATCTGGAAGTCATGGAAGGAATGGGTTTTCAAACATGCTTTTCATAAGAAAATATAGGATTTTCTTGAGGAACACTCTTTAAAAGGATTCAAAAAAACATTTTTTCACCAAAACTAAATGCTTATGAGCTCACTAGCTTTATGCTTATATTCTTTCAAAACTGTTTGTATTCTCAGGGATTTAGTAGACAGGTACTTCCAGGATTTTGGAGAAGTCGGCGTGTTAGAGTCACGTCTTTCCATTTACTTTTGATAAGAACAAAACTTTGTATTAAGACAATGTAAACCTTTTTCATATATGTATTTAATTTTTGTTTGTGTTTACTATGCTTGCTATGATACAACTGTTGTGATACTACGCATGATGTCCTCCACCCTGGAACGATTCCGCCGTTCCGGTTTCGGGGTGTGACCTCAACTTAGAACCACTATGGTTTCCTATTAATCGTGCACAGCTTATGAGCCACCAGTTCTTTGTAACATCACCAATGAAGTTCAAAATCGTCAAACAAGCGGAATTTGCATGAGTCAGCAATGTAAGGCCAAAAAGGTTCCCTAAGAGGATGTCGATAACTACACTCAACCACATGGAATGTCTACGTTGTGAAGCTTTCTCTGCATACTCCACACATGATCCAGACCTTACAAATTAATAATATACAAATAATAGGTAGAAAGTTTAAAAAAAGAAAAAAAAAGTATAAAAACTATTTCCAAGTCAAGATTACCTGGAACCACTCGCTAAGCGCCCTAATCAATGAGGATAGGTTTCGATGTGTGGTATTTGCTATATGAAAAGCAACGACTGGAGTGGGAGAGTTAGAGTCAAAAAGAGGATTCCTCACTTCTTTCTCTCATTCAAAACCATGCATGAGACTTTCATCTCACATGGCTCGTAAGTGATAAAAGAAAGAAGAACCTTCACGCAAGAAATTAAAGAAGCTTCCTTCGCAGGAAAGATATTCTAGTAAATAGACAACTCACCATTCATTCATGAACTGTCTTGCCCATGCCATCAAGAGCTAGAGCTATATCTCTCGAAGGTGTCTTAGCTCCACCGATAGGAACTGCCCACCTATCCAGGTAACCTCACCCGCGAACCATGAACTGAAGCAAATCTTAATCAAACCTATATTTGCTCAATGGATACAATCTGCTCATGGTAAAACTTCATATGGGTTCGATATATGTAGCACCTGGTTTCCGGTATGTGAATTTTATTTGAGCATTGCCCTATTTTAGCCTTGGACTCGGCGAGTCATAAGGCCCGACTCGCCGAGTAGGGACGAGACTCAGGACGCGTTTTAAGTGGTCGACTCGGCGAGTCCATATCCTGGACTCGGCGAGTCACCGCTGCTGGATGAAACCCTAAGTTTCAAGGGTTTGCACCCTATTTAAACCCTCATTCTGCCCCAACTCATCCCCATTCACCCCCAGAACTTCCCCATCATCGTTTTCCCTTAGTTCCTTGAGAGTTTGAGGTATTCTTGGTGTGTTCTTGAAGGTTTTGAGGAGAAAGAGGAGTAGATCAAGAAGAGGAGAAGGAGATCAGCCATCTTTGTGTCATTTCAACATTTCCCTTGAGGTATATCTCGTTTTTCCCCTGTTTCTATGCTTAGGATTTCATTTGGGACACTCTTGAGCAATTCTTCAAGCTTGTTTGTGCTTAATGTTCGTAATAAGTGGATTAACCTTTAGATCTAGGCAAGATTGAGCTCCAGGAGCTCAGATCTGTGAGCTTTATGGCCCCATGTGGCTTGTTCATCCTAGATCTACCCTTTTGAGGCATTTTGCACCCTAAAATCCACATTAGTGAATATCCACACGTAAAGTTGGAAACTTTACGTGTGATTTGTGTCCTAGAAGTCCAGATCTATGAATGGCATGGACTGAAATCGAGTAAATCTGTGTATTTGGTGGATGCATGGCGACGACTCGGCGAGTCGTATAGGTGACTCGGCGAGTCTGGTCGCGAGTCACCGATTTGGTCCCTTCATGATGTGTCGAGTTGAGCCGTGAGTCACAGGGGGTGACTCGGTGAGTTGGGAGCTGAACTCACCCATGTTAGGACTCGGCGAGTCAATGCCCTGACTCGGCGAGTCCAAGGCAATCTTCATAGATCAAGAACAGACTCGGCGAGTTGTTCATACAACTCGGCGAGTCTTAGCATAAAGTGTTCTTCGGATGAAGATGAACTCGACGAGTTGTTCATACAACTCGGCGAGTAGGATGAAGGAGTTGAATGACAGTTAGAAGGTGAACTCGTCGAGTCATAGCCCGACTCGACGAGTAGAACCAGGGACCCAGGACAATGGTTTGCTAGGGACTCGGCGAGTGGTGATCCACTCGGCGAGTCGGGTCAACTGAAAGTTGACTCTAGCTTGGCTTAGAGCTAGACCGGGGTAAAATGGTCATTTTACCTAAAGGACAGTTAGCAGTGTTTGATTGAGTATGTTGTGGGAATTGCAGCCGGAGGACTCCCGGAGCAGCAGCAGTCAGTTAGTTCCCGATCAGTTCAGCAGCTACTTTGAGGTGAGTTACCTTCCAGTAGCGGTGGGTCTAAGGCCACAATGCCGGCCCACCAGTAGGAGACGTATGATAGATGATTGTCTTTGTGATATCATCTAGGTTTGCT